ACAAGTCCCACTTGTGGCTCTTAATTGGTCGTATGTAAACTTCAAACCCATTTTCCACTTGCTTTCTCACCACCGGCGACCGGCCAGCAAAGATGATTCATTACTTCTACAATACAAAACAGGCACATTCCCCCATTGATGTCAGCTTAGCACACTTGAAAAAGCTCTAGGTTGAACAGCAACCAATTTTGTTTACTGCAGAATCATCTTTTTCTGCAACTTCAATCTTTTCACCATCGGAAGGAACAATTGAAGACTGGGTTCCATTTTTGCCATCGTCGATGGACTTTTTGCTCATCACGTCGTAGATTTGTGTGAGAACTTCCCCGAATGCAGTCTTGACGTCGGTGGATTCAAGGGCATATGATATTGGAAAAAAATAGCATAAAATACAAGAAATGACATTGTAAATGACTATTTTGTAATATAATTATTAGTGGGGTCCACTTTCGATTTTGATTGGGTCATAGTGGTTTCGAGTTCTTCGTAGTGAGACGAAGAAATTGATATATTATACGCTCAAAACGGATAATGAGTGAATGAGATATTGATTCTCAAAGTAAATCCATTTGAGTTGGGAAAGTGAAGAGAAAAATCTTAAAAGTAACTTTTGTCCTACATTGGTTTGAAAAGTCATTGTGTATGTACCACGAGAATGCATTATGCTCGTAACACTGGTCGTAATGGAAGGCATCCGTAAGTCATTTGTGTTGTTATGAGCACGAGCACGCATTACGGTCGTAACTGGCCTCGTAATGTGTCCTATCTAGCATCTTAAGTCCAAAGCTATAAATAGGGGGAGTTGGGAACCATTTGGGGCATTAAATTATAGAGTTAATTCCAGCAATGGTCCTCCGACTATATTGATTTTCCAAAATTAGTCCTTGACTTATAATTTGGACACTTTACGTCCCTTGACTTTCAATTTCTTTCCAATTAAGGTCCTTTCGTCAAATTACGGTAAATTGGACTTTAAATGAAAGGGTAAATTAGTCATTTCAAATGTCTAATGTATAATTCTTCGTATTTCTCCCTTGTATGCGCGACTTTGGAATCATATTCACTTAATTGCTTAATCCCAAAATCCACTCGAAGAACAAAATTCCATTAGGGATTAAGCAATTAAGTGAATCTGATATTCGAAGTCGCGTATACAAGGAAGAAATACAAAGAATTATATATTAGGCAAATGGAATGACTACTTTACCCTTTCATTTAAAGTTCACTTTACTATAATATGACGAAAGGACCTCAATTGGAAAGAAGTTGAAAGTCAAGGGATGTAAAATGTCCAAATTAAAAGTCGGGGACTAATTTTGGAAAATCAATATAGTCGGAGGACCATTGCTGGAATTAACTCTTAAATTATACTAGTAATTCACCCGCGCGATGCACGGAAAAAAATTATGTTATTATAAATATAAATAAAAAAATAGAAAAACTAAAATATTTTAAATTATTTAATATAATAATATTTGTGAGCTTTCATTGGTCAAGTATTTATTATTTTTATAGAATACAAAATTACAATTAAAATTAAAATTATAATTTTGTATGGTTAATATAATCTATAATTATGTGCATATTCAAATAAACTTATAGAGATAATTTACATAATTACATTGATTTATTTGTAATTGTATTTCATCTATATTATAATTTTCACAATACAAATAATAACTAAAATAATTACATTTGGAAAGCAAATTTCAAATTTTATATGTGTAAATTTAAACTCTAATTGAACACATTTTTTATTTGATTATATAATATTTAGCTATTTTATTTTTCAAAAGTATATTTTTTATATGATTATATAATATATAGCTATTTTATTTTTTAAATGTTGCGTTTTTTTTTTTTTTTTAATAATAAAGGATGTTGTTGTATTAATTGTAACATTAATTATTTCCCAAACCATATAGCTTTATTATATAAAGGATTAGATTAGGCCTTCGGGTAGAATAGGATTTTTAGATATGAAATCCACCGATGCAATCAAGACGTTGGCCTACGCCGCCAGCAAGTTGAGCGGCTTCATGTATGTGGGCGAGAAGGCTGACTCAACCACAAATGCGCCGTCGTAGAAGTACAACAAAAGCGGAAGTTTCAAGCCTACAGGAGTTATGGGCGGCATGTAGAGCCTAGCATAAAGTTTGGGCTTCGGAGAAATCACGACGTCTTTGCTTAGCACTCTGGTTCCTGCGTTGAAACCGGCCGGATAACCTTACCACACAACTTTCTTTCACGAAGGAGATAGCCTAAATTGACAGAAATACCCCTCTCTTAGACGGTCAACTGATGGAAGATCAAAATTGTCCATGTCATAATAAATGTGTCCAAAATGTGTCAATTTTTATTTTATTTATTTTTTTTTTTATGGAGGACTAAAATTGTCCAAGCCACAATAAGTCTATGGAAAAAAAGGGAATTCACTCTTTAATAAATAAAGAAAAAGATTTTTAAACAATAAAAATAAAAAATATTTTAAAAATGTCAAGTTTGTGAAGAATTAACCTGCTATACTGGTCGATTTGGACTCAATTGAACAATTTTACAGGTTTAAAAAATATAAATGATTTTGTTTTTTACTCAGAGAACCTAATTGCACTATCCGAATTACTTAAAAGAGTCAATTTGACCTTTTATTTATTTATGGAATAAGGGTCAAATAGGCCATCCAATTACACACAAAAATACAATTAGGCCATCGAACTCACAAAAACTACAATTAGGTCCCTGAACTACGCAAATTAATGCAATTTCACCAAAAATGACTTGTTTACCTATTGTGTCGGTTTCAAAATTAAAAATAATTTTTAAACTTTTATTTTAATAATTTTAAATAATAAATTATTTTAAAATTAAAAAAAAATTAATAATAAAAAAAAAACAATTCGCCGAAGGCTTCGTCTCCGGCCAGCCATGGAGAACCCTTCGTCTCCATGGCTGGCCGGAGACGAAGGGGTCCCCTTCGTCTCCATGGCTGGCCGGAGACGAAGGGGTCCCCTTCGTCTCCATGGCTGGTCGGAGACGAAGGGGTCCCCTTCGTCTCCGTGGCTGGACGGAAACGAAGGGGACCCCTTCGTCTCCGGCATATTGTTTTTTATTTTTTTTTTTTAATTTTAATTTTAAAATAATTTATTATTTAAAATTATTAAAGTAAAAGTTAAAAAATTATTTTTTAATTTGGTAACTGACACGTCAACGTATCAATAGGTATACAAGTCATTTTTGATGAAATTGCATGAATTTGTGTAGTTCAATGACCTAATTTTAGCTTTTTTGAGTTGGGTGGCCTAATTGCATGTTGGTGTGTAGTTGGATGGCCTATTTGAACCTTTTTTTTTGTTTTTTTTTTAATAAGGAATAAGGGTTAAATAGCCCATCGAACCGCACAAGATAATGCAATTAGGTCACTGAACTCAAAAAAACTACAATTAAGTCCCTAAACTAACCTATTTCAAGCAATTTATTCAATTTGTAGGTTTTCCCCTTTCTAACAGGTCACTCAATTTAAAATATTATTTAAAAATAATTTTTTAAAAATAATTAATTAAAATAAACTAAAAAAATAAAAGATTAGAAAAAACCATCGTATCCGCTGAAAACGAAGGTCTCCAGTCATGGCCATGGCGCCTTCTCCCTGTCTCTCACTCTCTGCTCTCTACGAACTATGCAAAGGCGAAGGCGCGAAGTGACCGGCAACCTGCGGTCGCAGGGGAACGCCGGAACTGCCGACTGCGAATTCCGAGTCTCCGATCGGTGACCTGCGTGCTGCCAGTGCGGTTTGGCCTTCTCGAGTTCTCCCAGTCTCGCTGTGAAGTCGAAGCGGAAGTGCAGAACTACTGACTGCAAACTCCAAGTCTATGACGGCGACCTGCGCACTGCCATCTCCGATTTCTCTCCCTATTGGCTATTCCGGAGACGATGCTTTAAAAAAAAATATTATTTTAGTTTATTTTAATTAAATATTTTTTTTAAAAAATATTTTAAATTAAGTGACCTGTTAGAATTGGGGGAAATCTGCAAATTAGACAAAATTGTTTGAAATATGTTAGTTTAGGGACTCAATTGTAGCTTTTTGAGTTCAGTGGCCTGATTGCATTATTGTGTATGGTTGGATGACCTATTTGACCCTTATTCCTTTTTTAAAAAATCAAAGGAAAAAGGTACAAATATGCCTATTGAACTATTTGGGGATAACAATTAAGTCACCGAACTCGAATAAACTCCAAATTCATCTATGAACATGGAAAAAAAGTGCAATTAGCTTTTTTAGCAGGTTAACAACAGGTTTGGATTGACATGTGTATATTTTATTTTATTATTTTTATTATCTTACTAAGCATTTGACCCTCCTCTTGGATGTCATGTTTTCATAATTTTATTTCCCTGACGTGTCTTTAAAATAATATAGTATTTTTTTTAAAATTTTATTTTAATAATTTAAAATAAAATAATTGTTTTAAAATAAATATATAAAAAAAACAGCATCCCTAGTTGGGCGGAGACGAAGGGACCGTCGAGCTAGTCTCGGAGATGAAGGCCCCCTTCATCTCTGGTCGCCATGGGCCCATGGAGACGAAGGGAACTGTCTCCATGGCTTGCTACCGCTTCATCTCCCGTTAGTCATAATTATTTTATTTATTTTATTTTCAAAATAATTATTTTATTTTTTAAAAATAATTATTTTATTTGAAATTATTAAAATAAATTAAAAAATTATTTTTAAATACAATATTTGACATATCAAGAAATAAAATTAGAAAAACATTACATTCATGAAGAGAGTCAAATGTTTAGTAGGATAATAAAAATAATAAAATATATACATGACAATTCAAACTTGTTGTTAACCTACTAAAAATGTTAATTATATATATATTTTTTCAGATTTATGAATGAATTTGAAACTTATTCGAGTTCAATAACTTTTGCTATTTTGAAATAGTTGAATAGCTTATATGTATCTTTTTCCAAAATCAAATCATAAAAGGTTTGGGCACCCGGTGGCCGGTACCCCACGGAGCGCTGTAGCCAGACCATGAATTGAACAATAACTTACTTCAGTCGTTAGTACTTTACCTTTTCTCCATTCTAATCTAAATGCTCGATTTATATCTGCGATCAGTAGAACTTAACTATGTTGTACTCTCGCATTTCTCTTACGTTGTAGCGATCGGTGTTTGTTGAATTCGGCAATGGAGTCAAAGCGGCAGGTGTTCTCTGTGGATCTTCTCGAACGATATGCCACAAAGGGGCGTGGAGTGATTACCTGTATGGCTGCCGGAAACGATGTCATCGTTTTGGGTACTAGCAAAGGATGGGTGATCAGACACGATTTTGGAGTCGGCGATTCTGACGGTATTATCGGTTTTCTGTACTTGTACTTTCTGTGTATCAATTGTTTGTATTATTGGCAAAATCTGTAATTATGCATAATTTTGTAATGACTAGAGCTAATGAAGCAGAACTGAAATTCTGGAAAATTGAATTGATTGAAATGGAAGGAAATTGAAATCTAAATTGCACAAATTCCTAGCTTTTCACCATCAATGTTAATGGGAATCTAATCCCATGTGCATTGGTGTCAGCTCTAGATTGCCCAGTTAAAAAAATGGGGAAATGAAAGTTGAAGGGAAACAGAGCTGGATAAACTGAAATCTATTAGGACAACATTTGCATGGTTGACAGTTTTCCCCAATTCTTACTTGTTAATTAACCAATCCCTGTGACCAAAATGCAGTTGTGGTTCATAATGCAAACAACAGGATTGGTGCTCTGCATCCACAAAACCCATATTTTGCCCTGTTTTCCTATCTTCTATATGCTACTGTATCCCCAAAACATTGGGCACACATCACACTGGAACAATAGTACATGGAGTAGAATGAACCTTGGGAAGGCTGAAAAGGGAATTGTTATTTTTTTAATCAAAGTTAACTTGATCTTATAATGTGGTGATTAGATGAGATATTTAACCAGAATATATTCTATCAATTTTCCTAGTTATTAATAAATTGTATACATGCATGATTTTTCTCGGAAAATAAGACACTTAGATTGTGTTCTAATACAAAAACTGCATGTGTGCCATGTAAAATAAACGTGTCTTAATAGATTACCTTTATTTATGATGGGTTTTTGGAATCTTTCAAATGAAGACTTGATAGGCGTACTTGTATTACAAGTCTTAAACAGAAAGATGCGTGGAGTTGTATTGTTTGGTCTTTTGAATTAGCTATGTGGGTGAAAGGCTGTGCTATCTCTTGTTTCATTGGATCTCAAATTCATGCTCATATGGTTTATATTTTAACTCTATAGTTTGTTTTGGTTGCTAAATATGCTTCACTTAACATAACATAACTATTCCTTTTTAGCTTATCATTATATTTCCCTTCAAACATACTCATTTCTCTTTATTTTACTTTGTACAATAATGAAGTACATGTGTTGATTTTACATGTTATGGCCCCATTCTTATTCACAACTTGCAACTTGTTGTAAGCCTTGCATAGATGGAATCTGAGTAACGTCCTTTGTAAGTCCAAAATTTAATGCATTCAGTTTGACAATCATTTGCTTACTTTGTTAATAGAATTTCAGGCTTTTTGATGTTTCTCATTAATTAAATGGAGTGAGCAATTATTTACTCATAATTCTGTACAGTCATTTAGTTTCTAAATAGAAGCTGTTGTAAGACAGATATGATGTTTGGAACACCATGTTCTGAACAATGATAAAAGTATAATAGTTATTACTGTCTGAGTAATTTAAATAATATTGCATTGAGTATTTCCTTACATTTTTTTAAGCTAGTCATACTCGTATATGTGTCATATTTTTGTTCCAGACTGTTGGCCATTTTGGCTTGCAGCATTTTTTGTTGGAACTAAATTCTTAGTATGATTATAAACTCTAACCACTGTTTTCTTATTGAACTTTGTACAGATATTGATCTTTCTGCTGGTAGACCCGGGGAGCAATCTATTCATAAAGTTTTTGTTGATCCTGGTGGTAGTCACTGCATTGCCACAGTTGTTGGCAATGGAGGTGCTGATACATATTACATGCATGCAAAATGGGCTAAACCTCGTGTTTTAAGCAAATTGAAAGGGCTTCTTGTCAACGCTGTTGCTTGGAACCGGCAGCAAATAACAGAAGGTAAGCAGTAGTATCAGTTTCTTCTCTTCTTATACATAATTGCACCATAAGTTAAGAATCTTTGTACACTGCCTTGATTCTATTTGTTGACTATGCAGCTTCAACAAAGGAAGTCATTCTTGGCACGGAGAGTGGCCAACTGTATGAGATATATGTGGATGCAAAGGATAAGATGGAGAAGCACATAAAGTTGCTATTTGAACTCAAGGAACTACCTGAGACTTTCATGGGTTTGCAGGTTTAATTCTTTCTAGCTTCATCTTTTTCCCCTCTCTCTCTATGTCTCTTTTTATTATTTATTTTAGTTTTTGTTTTAAATTTATTTTTTTTAATATTCCTTCTATTTAGTTTCATTGGTCCGTGGAGCATCTCTAGGTTGGCTCTGCTTTTTATTTTTAATTTTTCTCATCTACTTGCTTTACTCATACTCTTGAATTGATCTTCTGCTTTATAGCTTTTAGTTTCGTTTTTCTTTTTCTTTCAAAAGGGATGGAGTAATATGATAGTTTTTTTTTTTTTTTTTTTTCTTCTTCTTCCTTTCAGATGGAAACAGCTATTGTAAACAATGGAACTAGATATTATGTGATGGCTGTTACTCCCACACGCCTATATTCTTTTACTGGGATTGGGTCGCTAGAGGTAATTTCGTTTTTGTGTTTATCAGATTCATTTTGCATGTAACTTCCTGGACATCTAACATAGAAGGAAAACAAAAATAAATTCTTCATTTTCTTTTGGATTATTTTAGTAATTAGTTTTTCATTTTTTAAGCATTGTTTTCCATTTTCCCAACTTGACAAAGGATTTGGAACACATTTTTTTTCTTGTTTTCCAAATACAAAAATACAGATAACTCCATTTATAATCATTACCTACAAGGCTACAAACTTAAACTTCACTTATCTATCATTCTATCTACTCCTACCATCTATCCACCCACCTATCTATATACCCCTACCTCCACCTACCTACCCTATCATCATCCCTATCTACTTTTCTTCCATAATCACCATTACGCCTAGTATATATACCACCACTATAACTACATTTAATGCTGTTTTTCTTACTTCACCCACCATCATCTATCTTCTATATTTCCATCTACTTATTTCAATATAATCTACTTACTTGCACCTAGGATTAAATTTTATTTAGGATGACAATGGCTAGGGTACCAACCCCTTTAGCCATTTCTGAACTCGTCCCGTACCTGAATAAATATTTTGTATTTATCCAAACCTGTTCCACACTACTTGTATGGTACCCGAAACCAGTTTAATATATTGAACAAAAAAGATAAATACAGCACGCGCACATACACACACAGGGGGGTTTCTCTACTTCCTGAACCTGTGACGAGTATTGTTTTGCGGTTTTGCCTGCCCAAACTCATCCCAAGCCTAATTTTCAACTATCTGAACTTGTTCTATTAGGGTCCGGGAGGGTTGGGTACTTGGTATTACCCAACTTCTTGTTATCCCTAGATGTTTTTTATATCATACTAACCAGTATTAATTTTGAATATTCAAAATAATATTTAGATAATACCAACCCGATCTGATGCACACACCACTCAATATTATTGGTGCTTATTACTAGCATTTGTAGGTTAAATGAACAGAAGAAAAAGAATTTCAAATAACTTTGTATTTGATGACTTGGAAAATAATATAGAAAATAGATGCTCATAATACGATTTTGATTTTTCTATCATTTTCCTAATGGAAAAAGAAAAATGAGAAAACTGTGGAAAAAGAAAACAAAAAAATGAACTAAATGTGCCCTAGTGTCAATTGCTATTTTTAAGTCCTACATTAAAATATCTAGCTAACATCTTTTGTTTGTAACTTAATTTTCAACTTCTTTTGTTGTGCACTCTTGCCTATGAACATGACATTTGTGTTTTCCATGCTTTGCACTTCTGTTTAATTGTTTTTTTTTTTCTTCGGTGTAGTCTGTTTTTGCTAGTTATGTGGACCGCACAGTACATTTCATGGAGCTTCCTGGTGACATACCTAACAGGTAAGTTCTTTACAATTTTGCATATATATTGTCAAATATAATGGATGTTGGACAAAATCTTTGCTTTCTCCTTAAATGTGGAAGGATAGAATTGGTGCCTGCCTGTGCAATATCTAAAATATTCTTCAATGAAATTGTGTAATTTGGAACTCTAGTGTGACAGAAAAAATGCCTGCAGTATTAATATGAATATATTTCTGGAACTAATGCAGCGTATTGCTATGAAATTGCAAGACTATAAATCAGGGATAGTTATCTTTTGTGTGTGTAAATCATTATAGATTTTAAGCTCTTGACTTCACATGTATTTGGAATCATTTTTCTTTTTGCAGAGGATCTATTTGTCACAGGCTCAAGTGGCACTTAGCAATCATTTTGCTAAGTTATCTAGTGGTCATTTGCTTAATTTATTTAATCTTTGGACTATAAAATGCTAAATTGATTGTTTGAATTAACCCAAGGTTGTATAAATAGGGTGCTATCCATGATCTACCTAAGTAATTTGCCACTTTTAAATGCACAGAATCTTTATACTATAAAATGCTAGTTAGATTGTTTGAATTAGTACTAGGTTAGTAGGTTGTAAAGGTGGATTCTCTTCAGGATCTACCTATGTAATTCCCCACCTATAAATGCATACCTTAAGGAATTGCATTGTTTTTCACATTGTCTTTCTCTCTCTATGTTTATAATCTATTTAATTGGATTTGTGAAATGATAATATATTTTGCAATGCCCTTCTTGCAGTGAACTTCACTTCTTTATAATGCAAAGGAGAGCTGTGCATTTTGCCTGGCTTTCAGGAGCTGGAATCTACCATGGTGACCTAAACTTTGGCGGACATCATAGGTACAGGATGGTTTCCATGACTTAGTGTGTTTTTCTTGTAAACAGGTTTGAACTTCATATGTTGTTCTAAGAGTTAGTAACTTTTTCCCTTTTTGTATGATTTCCGTAACATGATTATTTCTTGTTAAATGTACTTTACACCAATTATGGATACATTGGTTCTCTGATATTTGCTAATAAATTGGAGATTTCACATGCAGTTCACCAGGTGGGGGTGAAAACTTTGTGGAAAACAAAGCTCTTTTGGACTATTCAAAATTATCAGAAGGAGCTGAAGTTGTTAAACCTAGTTCTATGGCAGTATCTGAATTTCATTTTCTTCTTCTTATTGGGAACAAAGTTAAGGTGAGTCCACTGTCCACTTGATGCCGTATTATTCTTACATTGCATGTCTTTTTACAGCTAGTTATGCAATAAGCCATTTGGGTTTTCCCAATGCCCATTATATATTCCTTGCAAAATGGTACATGACCTTATTGACACTTTTAGTGGATAATGGTAAAACATAAATTGTTATACCTTTTAAGTGGGCATTTGTTCAACACCTTGTATTAATGTACATGTTGGGTTAGCAGAATTGGCAAGGAACGGAGTAGGATTTGGTGGAATAGACCAATTTTGTTGTTCAGTTTGTTTTCAGTTCCACAGAATTGAACTCCACGGAATGACCTATTCCCTTTGCAAGCAGAATAGCCATTTCAGATTCTCCCATGGAATGAACTATTTCCATTGACTGTGGAATTGACCATGTTTTTGAGATAAAAATACCCTATCTTTTATTATTTTCAACCACTATTGTATTATGTTATGATAGAGTGTGTATGTAGATGTACATTATACGCTAACACACGCTGACATGCACATATACATACGCATGTATAACACACTCTCTCTGTTAATGACTTTCTAATTTCTATTCATCTTCCATTTCTTAACCCAACCATATTATTCTTTAATAATGAAATAGTATGTCTAGTATATTTTTTATCTATTCCATTCCTTATGAAATCCTATTCTTATTATCTAGTTTTATTTCTGTGAACCAAACTGGCAGTCAAGGTATTAGCAACTTTCTTAGTTTTCTAGAGATTTTTTTTTAGTGTGTTACACATAATGACTTTTGCAGTATAGAGCCATTCATCTCAGCAGTACTTGAAGTCATATTTCTGAATGTTGATTCTGGAAACTAGTTGGCAGCTTGTCATAACATTTCAGGGGCATAATGGGAACTTTTTTGTTTATTTGTACATATTTTACTTGAAGCATATAATTTCCCCCAAGCATCTAATTTAATATTTTGTTTTCACAATTCTTGGTGCATTATGTAGAAGCCCACAAGATTATTTTATTGGTAGATTGTAAACAGGATTAGTAAGCAGATAGTAGAAGAACTTGTTTTTGATCAAACACCTGATGCAGTTTCAAGGGGAATCAGTGGGTTATGCAGTGATGCGTCTGCTGGACTGTTCTATGCATATGACCAAAACTCTATCTTCCAGGTTTCTCTAGTCATTGTTATTAACTGTTCATTGATGCACTAGGTAACATATTTCTGGCTTAATGTTTTTAACAATAAGATGTGAATTAGGTGTCTGTTAATGATGAAGGCCGAGAAATGTGGAAGGTATACTTGGACTTAAAGGAATATGCTGCAGCATTGGCTAGTTGTCATGATCACCTGCAGAGGGATCAAGTCTATTTTGAGCAGGTTTATTTATTTTTTGTTTTTTTTTTGGGGGGGGTACATCTAATGCTGAATTTATAGCTTTTCTTTATTTATTTTTAATTATTATATCCATGTGTATGCAGGCTGAATCTGCTTTTTCTTCAAAGGATTTCCAACGAGCAGCTTATTTTTATGCAAAAGTAAATTCCATTTCTTTTTTCTTCGTTCTTTTTCATTATTATTATTGTTATTATGATGATGATGATGATGTTTTTGAAATCATAATTTGCTCATTTCTGTCAACAATTGAATATTTCTATGTTTGCATTTTGGGTCTGCCTTTTCTGTAGCTTCACATTTTTTTTTATAAAGCATAAGTATTATAGAAACTGGTGGATGCTTTTTAACCAGGCTCTTATTAGTTATCTTCTATACTTGTTTTTTTTTGAGGATCTATCTGAAATTTATTCCTTCTTCAATGAAAATATCCTTCTATTGGAAAAACACCTTCCTCGTAGTAGAGAATGTACTGGCCTTTTAGCTAATGGAAGTTTTTCATATTTTTTTTGGAAAAAATAGAAATAAATAAGGAAAATTGGAGTTTGTGTTCAAGTTGAAATATTCCCCAAACTGAAAAATGACAAGAAATTTCATTTATCCAACTTTGAAAATGCACGAAATTTAATTTATTGAATAGTATGTTAAGTATGTTATATGTGAAACTGTATGTTCTTTTCCCACTCCTTGAGATTAAATGATACTCCTCAGGTAGAAACTAGAAAACTTATATGATTTTATGTGAAGATTTGGGTTTTAACTCTTCTTTTTTCCTTGAGCCTGTAGTACTTTCAACCAAGTGTCTGGGAAATATTTGTATTTGTATATATAAAAAAAGTATATCTCTCACTGCAATTGCGCTACTTTAACTCCTCAATGATTTAGCTTGTATCTCAATGGCACCTCCGCGGCGCTCCCAAATGGGAGGTCATAGTTCGAACCCCAGTGGGGGCGTTGACTCTTTGTGCTTCAATATGTTTAGAAAATATGTATGGACAAATACTATATTGTAAGAGCCAGAAGTACTAAAAAAAGTTAATATATCTGCTATGTCCTTTTTTGTTTATTTTTATTCCAGCTGTAAATTGCATTGGAACTAGTTGCTAGAGCCCATTGCCTTCTTGATATCTCTTTCTCTCCACATAACCACACCCCTTTTAAAATTATAGTGGTTTGATATAGATAAATAATAATGTTAATTTTTTCATCCATCTATCTAGCTCTTTATTTGCTAGCAATTGACTACATCCTGATGCAAGGGAATTTAAATTGCAGATTACGTATGTGTTGTCATTCGAAGAGATAACATTGAAGTTTATTAGTATAGGTGAACAGGTAATAGTTATTTTTGGTATTTTCTTTGGGTTACAATGATCATAATGCATTTGTATTTTCGTAAAACAAGTCATCAAGTCATTGTATCATTGAAAATCATAAATTCAGTTCATTTTAATATAGTTCCTAGTTTGCAGGATGCTTTGAGAACCTTCCTTTTAAGGAAACTCGACAGTCTTGCTAAGGATGACAAGTGTCAAATAACTATGATTTGTACATGGGCAACTGAACTGTATTTGGACAAGGTCTGTTCTGCTGTGTTGCATAGCCACTGGAAAAATTCTGTTTTTCGTTTCTCTCCTGTTAAACTTAGATATTGTATACTATATACATGAACACTTTCAGAGTATATGTGTGTCATCAGTTATCTCTGATGTTAATCTGTCACATTCTCCCTTCAAAGCAATACCAGGTTCTGAATAGGGCAATCTAGGATTATTTCTACATTAGAATTCTGTGTGAATTTTTGAATAGTTTAGAATTTGTCCTTAATAGTCAATTTTATATTTGTTCCCCAGACACCAGGCTAGTGATTGTAGAACATCTACATGGGAAATTTCCATGTCAATTATTAGACCATTTGGTTCTTGCCCTTAGTAATCAATTGCATATTTATTCCCCGAGACCAGGGTAGTGCATATAGAACATGTACAATAAGAGAGATGCTATATGTGCAATTGTCTTTAGGAAGCGACAGAAGCGTTGAGAATGCAAAGTTGGATTTTCTCTTTGGGCTGGAATTTGATGGGGATGAATGGGTTTCAATGGAACATGGGAGGGGATACAAATAGGTTTGATTCTCAGGAAGAACTTCTAGTGAGGTTTTTGGTGGAGGTATTTTGCTTCCAAGAATCTATGGGCTGAACCTCATCTGTTTATCTGAGAAAAATTTGATCTTTCAATAATTAATAAAAGATATGATTTAAAATTCTTGAGAGGATTTTCAACTAAAATTCTATGGGTGGACCCTTCATGTGGTGCCACATATACTGATATACTTCAAAAAAGGAACTTTTGAGAGTAGCAAAACCAAACTTTTCAGCCAATTAGCTACTAAACCCTGGTCCAGTGGGTTAAAGTCTTTATTTTGGTGATAATGCAATGGGAACCAGAAGTGCTTTTGTTTTGTCATTTGCCACTAACAAATGAATAAGTATCACTTATGATCTAAAAGTTTTCTACTGCTTGTGATGTGATTTCTGTTAGTTGTAGTTGTAGAGTTTCTATAAGCTGTTATATATTTGTTTTAAATTCTATTTGTGATTTTCCCCTCATCTCTCCTAGATAAATCGGCTACTTTTAGAAGATGACGGTGCTTCAGAGACTCACAGTTCAGAGTATCAAGATATTATTATGGAGTTTCGTGCTTTTCTAAGTGACAGCAAGGACGTATTGGATGAAGCAACAACTATGAAGCTACTTGAAAGGTAACTAGCATAATAACATTGCAATTGGTTTTGTTTTACCTCGAGCCTTTTTACTTTTTGTTAACAGAAGAACTCTATATGTTTTTCATATATTTTAGACTAAGGAATATACATACTTATACAAGAAACTATATAATAGTAATGTAAGGATCGAAACTCAATCCCTAAGAATATGCGCATTAATCCTAATGTCATGCTAAATATATTCCTACCATTTATAATGTTTAGAACTCCTCCTCAAGTTAGAGCATAGATATTGATCATGCCCAACTTGTTAAATAAGTAATCTACTCGAGAGTCGAGACCCATTCATGGCTTTTGTAAAAAAATCTCCTAACTGTTCTCTTGTCTTCACAAACCCTGTAAAAATTAAGCCTCGTTGTATCTTTTCATGAATGAAATGACAATCAACTTTGATGTGCTTGGTTCGTTCATGAAAGACAGGATTGACTGCAATATGGAGAGCTGATTGTCACACTATAGCGTCACAGGAATAGGATCCTTGAATCCTATTTCATTCAGAATGTGATATATCCACAAGATTTCACAGGTTGCTTGTGCCATTGCTCTGTACTCTTCCTCTGCACTTGACCATGCGACAACATTATGCTTCTTGCTTTTCAACGAGATCAAATTCCCACCAAAGAAGACACAAAATCCGGTTGTAGATCTCTGATTTTCCTTAGATCTTGCATAGTCTGCATATGTAAAGCGCCTAATCTCCATATGTCCATGTTTTTGACATACAATTCCACGTCCTGGAGCCCCTTTCAAATAGTTTAAGATTTGTTCGACAGCTCTCCAGTGGTCAACAGTTGGAGAAGCCATAAATTGGCTTACAATACTGACTGAGTATGCGATATTAGGACGGGTTACAGTTAGGTAGTTTAGCTTACTAACAAATCGTCTATATCTTTCTGGTGTTAACTGTGAATTCGTGATCATTGATTCATTGGAGTACTGCATGACTTAGCTCCCAATTTCCCTGTTTCTGTCAATAAATCAAGTACACATTTTCTTTGGGAGAGAAATATACCTTTCTTACTCCGTATTATCTTGACACCCAAAAAATACTTTAATGTACCAAAATCTTTAGTCCGAAATTAACTATGAAGAAAGGTCTTAAGAGATACAATACCAGCGGTCACTACCTGTGATAACAATGTCATCTTCATAGACCACAAATAAGATAGTACCTGTTTTAGAATGCTTATAAAAATAGAGTGATCAGACTTCCTTCTCAACATGCCCAACCTTTCAATCGCTTGACTGAATTCCCAAACCATGCATGAGGGCTCTGCTTTAGGCCATATAGAGATTTGCGGAGGCGACAAACTTTACCATACTCCCCCTGAGCAACAAACCCAGGTGGTTGCTCCATGTAGATTTCTTTGTGAAGGTCACCATGTAGAAAATCATTCTTAATGTCTAGTTGATGTAAGGGCCAAGCATACATAGAAGCTTTAGAAATGAGCAACTTGACAGAGGTCAATTTCGCAACCGGGGAAAATGTGTCAAAGTAACCAATACCATAGGTTAGAGCATACCCTTTTGCAACTAGACAAGCCTTCAATTGAACCACTGACCCATTAGGGTTAACCTTTACCGCAAACACCCACTTGCACCAAATGGCCTTCTTCCCTGCAAGTATCATGGTACCATTGAAATCTAAGGCATTCATTTCCTCAATCATAGCGTTACGCCAACCGGAGTGTGACAAGGCTTGTTTTACAATTTTAGGAGTTTGTATGGAGTCAAGAGAAACAATAAAGGAGCAAGAAATACGAGGTAAGTGAGTATAAGAGAAAAAGGTGAAATAGGATACGTACAAGATCTTTTACCTTTGCGAAGGGCTATTGTCAAGTCATCTAGATCATCCAACGAAGAAGCTGGCTCAGGACATGAGACGGGCAATGTGTCAGGAGCCAACAAAGTATCCGGGTTGGGAGTAAATATTTATGGAGGGACAGAATGTTGCTTACGAGAATAAACATGAGTGATTGGTGGTCGTAAAGTAGGGATAGAAGTGGATGTGGTGGTAACCATATAGATGTGACATCATCATCGTCCCCGTGGCTTGCAGAAGTTGAAGGAAGTGAAAAGGGAACATCTTCATGAAAGGTTACATTAATCGACACTAGATATCTTCCCATAGACGACAGTAACACCTATACCCCTTTTGGACAAGAGAATATCCCAGAAAGATGCAACTTTTGTGGGAAGAGATGCTGATAGGGTGTTGTTCCACGTAATATCAAAGATGGCATATGGTTAATCAAATCAAAAAACATGCAGTAGAAACTGTATCAACCCAAAAGTGTTTGGGAACTTGCATTTGGAACAGGAGAGCTCGAGCAGTTTCCAACAAGTGTGTTTTTTCTTTCAGCAACCCCATTTTGAGATGGAGACATGGAGTGTCAACACAAGATGATTGGTGTAAAACACCATGTTCACCCATATAAGAGGAAATGGGTTCAGAAAAGTACTCTTTTAGCATTATCACTTCGCAAGATACGCTTACGAATATGAAACTGCGTTTTTATTTCAGCACAAAAAGCACGAAAATGAGAAAACAATTCAGACCGACTCCTCATGAAATATACCCAAGTCATGTGAGAATAATTGTCAACAAAAGTAACAAAGTATTGAAACCCAGATTTAGTCATAACACGACATGGACCCCAAACATCATAATGAACTAACTCAAATGGAGCATTTACTCTAGGAGTCAAACTAACTCAATGATGTTTAGCAAATTGACAAGACTCACAATTTAAAGAAGACACCTTATGATATTGCGAGCACATTTTTTTTTCACAGAGGTAAAGAAGGGTGTCCTAAGCGACAATGGGCTTCAAAGGGAGTACCCATCCCGAAGTAGGCAACAATTTTTGGAATATTAGAATCAAGAATATAGAGGCCACCAGACTCATGTCCTTTATCAATAATCTGCTTCGTCGTAAGATCCTGAAATATGCCGTGAGTAGGGAAAAAAGTTACAGAACAATTCAAATCATGAGTAATTGGAGTAGCAGTGCCAATCCCAAGCACCCTAGAGGTGGACCCATCAACTAAAGGGACATGGGAAGTGAATGGAGAAGATTGAAAGGTAGAAAGGAGGCTAGAGTTACCTGTCATATGATCCGTGGTACCCAAATTGATAACCCACTTGGAAGTTTAAGAGACTTGGCAAGTATTGGGATTACTTGAAGTGGCAACATCTATGATAATCTCTATTAGGAAAGTTCCAAGGATTCCAAAACTCAAAGAGTGTTTAAGATACACTTCTATATCTCCAAAAATTATCAAAATGTGGTACATACATGAAAGAAATCATTCAAGACATACATAAGACCACAATAAATAGTTAAGTATAGATAAATTCAATTAAAACTATCTCTCTAGACAAGCACAAAAAAAAGAAAAAGACAAATAGATCAAAGCTAAAGTGTGTTTTTTACCTGTTCATCGATGGGTAAAAAAACTGTCTTCATTCCTTTTTCAACAAGTAATTTTTAATATTTTGTCATAAGTGCAGAAATTACTAATATGTGTAACGTTGTGTGAAGTCTAAGTATGTTGTAATTGTCATTAATTGCTTCTCTGTATAGGTGATGTTTTAAATATCTATTGCATGAATGATAGCTTATAAATTGCTAGTTTGTTTTGTAAAATATAATGGAATATGTATTACCTACTCAAACTTTTAACATAAAAATTACATCTCCTTGCAGCTATGGTAGAGTCGATGAATTGGTCTTTTTTGCTGGCCTGAAGGAGCAATATGAGATTGTTGTTCATCATTATATTCAGGTATCGTTTTGGTTCCTGGTTTTATAAAAGCTGGTTAGGCTCACAAATAGACATGTTCTTTTTTCTTTACCATTTATGGTTTCTTTCAATATTATGGGCTTATGGCACTTTTGATTCTTATCCCATGATTTTCGTGAAGTACTTTAAATGTGGGAATCTTACATAGATTCTTGAATTATTTGTGCTTTCATATGGTATACATACGTGCTCAATTTATTTATTATCTTCTCAATATTCACAAATTTGGTTCCTCTCCTCTTTTGTTTATTTATCCTTTCAATGGGTGATGGGATCCTGTTATTCTTGAAATTACAGTGTTTGATGTCAATAATTATTTGAATTTTGGAGATAAAAAGTTGATAGATTATAACCATTGGTCAAATGAATTGTTGGTTTTTTTGTTGACTTCAACTTTATGTTTGGTTCAAGAAAAGTGAGGGGAAAGGAGCAATATGTGACTTTATGTTAGATGTGCATGCATTCTCTTCCTAATTTTTTAATGTGATTTAGTAGGGAAAGGAACTACTACTCTATAGATGTTTGTACTTTGTAATTCATCTAGTCTATGTTGCACAGAAACTAGAAACGGGTAACATGGAAGCACCAATGTCAAAAAATGTAGGCAACGAAACGTGAGGGAAATCCACAAATATAAAAAAATATAGGGATATATTTGTCAATATTTTATATATTAAATATGCATAAATATTAATTATCTACTACTAGTTTCATGAAGAAAAGTATTACACTAATAAATAAAATTTTAAAAGTAATGTACTAAATTAGTAATAAATAGTTAAACATTACAGCATCTAATCTAATTGAAATAATAACAGAATATCCAAAATTTAAAATATTTTAAAACTTCAACAATCATGTTTTAATTAAAATCTCCATTAGAAAAATACAGACTCTAGCGTCGGTTCATCCAAAGATAGGTTGGCAAACTCGAGGATGCCAACATCTTCCATTCTCGAAATTCGTCTTCTCTAACATCCCCCCTTTTTTATTTGTCATCATAATATTCTTTCATATTCCTTGATAGAAGACGAAGAGAAGCAAAGAAAAGCAGTGTCGGGGAATCGTAGTCATCTATGTCTTTCACAAAATAGGGTTTAAAGAAATTTTAATATTTTAAAATTTGGCCCAAACTTTTTTAAATGGTCCAAAACGGGTTTCCAGATCAGGAAATGTGTTTCCTAACATTTTCTTATTTGGAAAACAACCCAAATTTTTTCCGAAACTTCTGGTTTATTAGGAGAACATTTTTGAATGAGTTTCTGTGATTTTTGGAGACGAAACAGGGTACCATTTTGGAGTTTCCGTGCATGATAGCATCTAGTGTTTGGTGGTCTGATCATTAGTTAGAGGCTTGAACCTTATTTGTGTATCTTTTTATCATGTATAGCAAGGAGAAGCAAAGAAAGCCCTGCAAGTTCTTCAGAAGCCTAATATCTCAATAGATCTTCAGGTACGTTATTGTTTCTGCGTATAATTAATTAATTATTTACTTTCTCTTTCAACTTATTTGTTCCTTTAATTTTCACTTGCTTGTGCATTTTAATATGTTTTTGTAATGACTAGGACTTATGATAATGTTGTTGGAAACTGACTTCTCTTTGCAGTACAAGTTTGCTCCAGACCTTATCATGCTTGATGCATATGAAACTGTTGAGTCATGGATGACTACTAAAAATTTGAACCCGAGAAAACTCATTCCTGCCATGATGCGTTATTCAAGTGAGCCACATGCAATGTAATGCACATTTCTTTCTTAGAATTATTTTCTTGAATTGATAGCAATAACTGAAATAGTAAATAGTGAGGCAAGAGTGACATGGTAATCACAGATACTGTCAACTAAGATAAAGTAGAAAACTGTATTACTGTGTATTAGTGAGGAACCTGTACAGCCTATATATATACAGCAAGGAGCAAGCTAAACCATAGAATTCAAAAAATGGAAAGTAAGGCAGGGATAAACTCTCTAACTGCTCCCTCCTAATTATTCTAACACTCTCCTTCAAGCTGGTGCATAGATATTGATCATACCCAGCTTGTTACACATGCTCAAATCAACACAGCAAACCTGGGAGAACAAACTGTCGCCGGAAACTTCCTCACGCGCCGGCGCGTGACGTAGGAGGTGGCGCGTGACTGCTCTGGTGGCTGCACGACTCTTTCTCCGGTGATCGTCTCACTATTCCGACCTCAACTCACTACCTCACTCACTCTCTCTGGCTTTGATACCATGTCAAGCTAAACCATAGAATTCAAAAAATGGAAAGTAGGCAGGGAGAAACTCTCTAACTACTCCCTCCTAATTATTCTAACAGATACAACTATACAATACATTATAGTGAGTAATATTGGAGAAAAGCATGCTTGTCTTTGTTGTTTACACAATTTGTTATCTTTTTTTTTTTTTTTTTTTTTTTACTGGGTTGAGCCACCACTGTTTTGCCCAGTATGGTTACAAATCTTGTGGGTGGGTTAGAAACTACTCTTTTGAGCAAAGCTACATTTCTTTACACTGGTATGTTTTAGTTAATCTATTATGAAGTGGCCTTGTTTCATTATTTTATGTTATTTATAATATACTTGATAATTATTGCATCTTTTACTCCAAGGTTTCTCTGGAATGGATGATGGATCATTACATGATGCATCTCAAAATTCGATTCTATCTTTGTTGATTTGCGGTTCTTTCTTCTGCATTCTATTTGTAGGAATGAAACCCATGAAGTTATAAAATATCTGGAGTATTGTGTGCACCGACTGCAGAATGAGGATCCTGGTGTTCATAACCTGCTACTTTCATTATATGCAAAAAAGGTTAGTTAGTGAGAGCTTTTGCAAGACTAGCTTCACTGATAAATGCCATGCTGACTTTCTCCATTATTTCATTACAATTCAACTTCTTATATCAAATGTAGAAAATTTTCATTAAACCTTAGGAGACTAGAAATCCTGCTTTTAACTTCAGCTCAAGAATGCCGTGTGCATTCGTCTGTATCTTGATTAAGGAACATTTCTTATTACAAGTTTGCAGTAGTTAATATTTAGCATTATATATTTCTTTTATTTTTGTTATTCTATTGAAAGATGTACTCTTACTCTAAATATATAGTGAGTGTTCTATTCATTTCCAAAATAGTGCCAGGCAGAAAAATATGTTCAGCTCAATATTTTCCTTAATTTTCTTGATCTTGTTTTCTTCATCTGATTTTGCTGCCTTTTGGTATTGAAAAGATCCATTTGATTCAAAATGATGTTAGTATATTAACAGCTCATTAAAAGGTGCATAATTTGTTTGATATACTCTAGGTGACTTAATTTCATGTGTCCTTTGATCTCTCATTCATTTATTTATGTGCCAAATTATTGAAATTGAGTGATTGAATGTCTGGTGGATGGCAAATAGCCACCACCTGCTAGTGAGGCAGAAGCTAATATATGAAAAATCAGCAGGAGTATATTAGTTATATTAGTAGTATTGTGATGCTGCCTCTATTCTGATATTGATACACATGCTTATATAGATACCTAAGGAGCTGCATAATGGGCTAAGCCTAAGATTACGATAGGGTTACACTAGGGTTTTCTTTTATATATATTCATCCGTTAACAAGCACCCCCTCCCTCAGTTGAAACTTAGTAAGATAAACAAATTAGATGTGGTTAGAGAATGAGACTATTGGATGTGAATACCCTCAGAAACGGACCCTTGGGAATAAAGATAAAAGCACCAAGTGACGAAACTGAACATGAACAACCTCAAAACAGCATGGCAAAACAAGGAAGCAGTCTAGGAGGTGGTGTCAAAAAGAAGGCTTTCCCTGTTGAGTGGTAGAGGTGAAGGTTCGAGCAGCTGAGAGATTCATTTTGGCTATAGCAATGAAATGAAGAGAATAGGGTAGTGGTCAACTGGTTAATGGCAGGGAGTGGTGTGAAGCAGTAATGGATCAATATCGAACATCACAGATTAGGTAGTTGAAAGGAGAAGAATGGTGCGAAGCAGCAATGGATCAATGTCAAACTTCACAGATTAGGTTGTTGAAAGGAGAAGAGCTCGGTGCAAAATCAGATGGATGATCTGACTGCTCAGGTGATGCATGACCATGCCTGGGAGAAGTTGGTGGCAGTGCTTCTGATGTGAGGTTGAGATGAGGTTCTGAACACGATGCTGATGTTAGTTTTTCCCAAGATGGCCAACAGAAGAGAGTCGGAATAATGAAAGTAGTCACAAGAAGGTTTTGTCAGGTGAAGAACGAGAAAAATGCGCAGGGTTTCATATTGGGAATTCTTGAGAATAGATTAGAGTTTAGGTGTTTAGAGCTCTAATATCATGTTGAGTTTGAGGGATTAAAGGCTTGACAGATGGAAAATAGCCACCACTCACAAGTAAGGCACAGAGGCAGAAACTAGTACATAGAAAACCAAAGAAAGTAGTACATTGACTATATTAGTAGTATTATGATGCCTATATTCTGATGCCAATGCTTATATAAGTACATATACGCTATAATAGGTTACACTAGGGTTTTCTTATATTTCCTCTCAACTCTATAGTTGTGACATAAAGCTATAATAAAGGCAGATATTGAACCATTGGTTTCTTGTTTCTCTTCTGCACTTAGTTTATCTTTTATGAAACTTAATCTGGTCTATGCTAGTTCATTTTTTTAGGAGACTCAGACAAAATGACACTTGCACAACTAACATTGACTATTTTCTTTTGTTTTCTTTTTTAAGGAGGATGAGAGTGCTCTCCTGCGCTTCCTGCAATGCAAGTTTGGGAGGGGTCGGCCAGGTGGCCCTGAATTTTTTTATGACCCCAAATATGCCTTGCGCCTTTGCCTCAAGGAAAAGCGGATGCGCGCTTGTGTTCATATCTATAGCATGATGTCTATGCATGAAGAAGCAGTTGCTCTTGCTTTACAGGTATAGACTGATAATTTTGTTTGGATGCATTTATACTCATTATTTGCCAAATGAGAAACTTGGCATTTTTGCCATTCAAGGTCGATATACATACATCTAGAAAATACCCAAATACGTTTATACATCCCTGCCTTTTTCCCCTTTCTAGATGGATAGTTTAGACTGATATCTCTCTACAATCAACATAAACATATTGTTCAGTTTATACTCTAATTGATAACCGTATGACTAAATTCTAGTTCCCATTCGGCCATTCTTGAATGGCTTAAAGAAATGACTCAAATGCTTTATTGAAAACAAGTACATCACGTATGTTTTTAAATATTAATCTTGGAGAAGAAATTAAGGTCAAGATGATGCTTGGCTGTTTTGAACAATGCATGAGTGAGTAGATTTTGTGCTTAAAACAACTAATAGCTGAACCTAATGGTTGATAAGAGAAAGGGCTTGAGTGAACATTATGAATTCCAAAGTTCATTTCTGCCTTCTCATCAACCAAACTTGTTCTTCCTGTGCAATGCAATAGGTTGATCCAGAGCTTGCTATGGCTGAAGCAGACAAAGTTGAAGATGATGAAGACTTGAGAAAAAAGCTTTGGCTTATGATTGCAAAGCATGTCATTGAGCAGGAAAAAGGAACTAAGAGGGAGAATATCCGAAAGGCAATAGCATTTCTCAAGGAAACTGATGGATTATTGAAGATTGAAGATATCTTACCTTTCTTTCCAGACTTTGCTTTAATTGATGATTTCAAAGTAAGTATCTCTGTCTTAGTAATCTTTATTCTGGCTTCTGCATTAAATGTTTTTTACTGTGTAGTTCCATTCTTGCCCTTCATAAATACAATATTGAAAATTCTCTTTCCTTTGTCATTAATTTCAACCCATGGAAGAAAAGGAGTATTGTGGAAAATTAGCTTTAGTAGAAGTATTGAATTTTTGACGAGGTCAATCTTTATAGGACTTTGTAAAATAGAAAGTAGGCCACTTGTTGAGGGGCAGAGTGAGTATAATGGGTACTGAGCACTAAATGTTTCCTAATTGTTACATTTAATTGTAACTTAATTACTAACTTGAACCATAGATTTTAAATTTTTGAAGTATAAGAGAAGTTATATTCTCTAGGGCACAAGCCCTCTGAAAAATATCAAATGTTAAAAGTAGATGAAATAGAAGTAAAAGATTAAAAAGTCTTCTCCATCCTCCTCACATCCAATCCAAACCTGTCCATTCTTACATTTCTCTTGTTTTGCAATGCTATGAAGAGATGCATTAACATGACCTTTGGGTTTGAAGGTAGACTTCAAAACTATCTATTTGTTTCAAATTCTTTAACTTTTAAATACAACCCTTTAAGGCTTTAATAGCAAGTGACCATTACTTCTGCAAATATCAGATATTTATGGTATTGTATTCCTTAGTGTGAACTCCTTTATCATCAAACATCAATCTATCCTTTATCAGCAAACATCAATCTATGTATTTTCTTTCAGTTTGACTTTATGTTGTCTGCTCAACAGTTTAGAATTGGCACTTACTACCAAAATTATTGCAGGAAGCAATTTGCTCATCATTAGAGGACTATAATGAGCAAATTGAAAAATTGAAGCAGGAGATGAATGATGCAACACAAGGTGCCGACAATATTAGAAATGATATTAATGCTCTTGCTCAACGATATGCTGTCATTGATCGTGATGAGGAATGTGGGGTAATTATTCTCTTTTGTCTGCTGATTTCATAATATATGTCTGGTTTGTCATTTATATTTTTGAAAAAGTAAAAATTTTTATTGATTGACCGTGCCAATTTGGCATTTATGGGGTGCCACCTCTTGTACAGAATCATGGGACAATAAAAATGGATCTATACATTTTGTGGAAACAGTAGAGGAAAAGGAAGAAATGATGCTTTATTTCATTGTATCTCTCACTAGTTCTCCAGATTACAACCATATATATATAGGCATAAAGAAAGGCATATGAAAGGGCATAATAAATGCTGAAAAACTACTCATCTTCTCAAAGCTACAACTTCCTAGAGTAGAGTAAATATGACTGCCTATGTCCAACACTCCCCCTCAAGCTGGAGCATATAAATCAAAAGCTCCAAGCTTGCTACAAATGTATTCAATCCTAGGTCCACGAAGAGGTTTAGTGAGAACATCAGCAAGTTGGTCATTTGACCCAACAAATGAGGTAATGATGTCTCCAGATGCAACCTTTTCGCGTATAAAGTGACAATCAACCTCAATATGTTTGGTTCTTTCATAATAGACACGATTGGAGGCAATATGCAAAGCTGCTTGATTATCACAAATCAATTTCATAGGACCAAGTTTATAGAAATTGAGTTCTGTGAGAAGTTGTTTAATCCAAATTAGCTCACATATTCCAAGTGCCATTGCTCGGTATTCTGCTTCTGCACTTGAGCGGGCAACCACATTTTGTTTCTTGCTTTTCCATGAAACGAGATTACCACAAAAAAGAATACAATATCCTGATGTTGATCTTCTATCCCAAGGGCATCCAGCCCAATCTGCATCTGTATATCCAACAACTTCTGTATGTCCATGATTCTTATAAAGTAATCCTGTACCTGGAGATCTTTTCAAATATCTTAAGATTCTAATGGCTGCATCCCAATGGTTTTGACATGGCTCTTGTAGAAATTGGCTAACTACACTTACAGCAAATGAGATATCTGGACGGGTGATCGTCAAGTATAGTAGCTTGCCAACTAATCTCCGGTATCTACATGGATTGCATAGAGGCTCCCCCTGTCTTGGAAGAAGCTTGACATTTGGATCCATGGGTGTGTCAACTGGTTTGCAGTTTGTCATACTTGTTTCTTCAAGAATATCTAAGACATATTTCCGTTGGGACACATAGATACCTTTTCCAGATTGAGCAACTTCAATACCAAGAAAATATTTTAATTTCCCAAGGTCTTTTGTCTCAAAATGTTGACACAAGTATTTCTTGAGCTGTTCAATTCCTTCTGTATCATCTCCTGTGATGACGATGTCATCAACATAAACCACAAGATATATGCTTTTTCCAAGAAAATGTTTATAAAAGACAGAATGGTCGGCCTTGCTTTGGATCATGCCAAATTGTTTGACCACATCACTGAATCTCCCAAACCAAGCACGTGGAGATTGCTTCAACCTATAGAGAGACCGTTTGAGACGACAAACAAGACTTGCTCCTGTCTTAGTCACAAAACCAGGGGGCTGCTCCATATATACTTCCTCCTTCAAATCACCATGTAAGAAGGCATTTTTAATATCTAACTGATATAACGGCCAGTGCCGATTGGCCGCCATTGAGAGGAAGAGGCGGATAGAGGTGATTTTGGCAACAGGTGAGAAAGTGTCTATATAGTCAATGCCAAATTCCTGTGTGTATCCTTTAGCAACAAGTCGAGCTTTAAGTCTATCAACTTGTCCATCTGGACCAACCTTCACATTATACACCCATCTACAACCAACCACAGTTTTTCCCGGAGGTAAAGAAACTAACTTCCAAGTTCCAGAAGAATCAAGTGCCTCCATTTCATCAATCATTGCTTGCGTCCATCCTGGATGAGTTAATGCCTCCTTGACATTCTTTGGAACAGAAACAGTAGACAAACTAGTAATGAAAGCACAATATGATGGAGATAGTCGTTTTTGTGAGAGGAAATTATAGATAGGATAAGGATTTCGAGTGGATCTTTTACCTATTCGACTAGCAATGGGAGAGTCTTTTTCTGTTGTGGTTTGGGCTGTGTCAATGGGAAGCAAAGATGTAGGACATGAATCAATCGGACACCCATCTTCTTGGGAGTTTTGACGATTGCGTCGTTGATAGGTGTACCTAAATGGTGAAACATGTCCTTCCTCTTGAATGGTTGGATTTGGTGTAGTTCTTTCAGGAATCTGTATAGTTCTTTCAGGAACAGTGTGAGATACAGGTTCTGAAAAAGTAGGAACAGGGAGAATTTCTGTTACCTCTGTGGGTTCCCCTAGGATATCAGACTCAATGGAGGTGGAAGAGAAAAAAGGTGTTGTTTCAAAGAATGTAACATCAAAGGAAATATAGAAACAATGTGTTTTAGGACAGTAACACCTAAAGCCCTTTTGGAGACGAGAATATCCAATGAAAACACACTTTGCCTTAGCATCAAGTTTGTCACGTCCTGGGGAAGAGTCATGAACGAAACAAGTGCACCCAAAGATCCGTAATGGGAGCTTATGGAGCCTGTGGGCGCAAGACGTGAAGAGGAATTTTTCCTTGCAAAACAGAAGAAGGCATTCGATTTATAAGATAGCAAGAGTGAAGTATAGCATGCCCCCAAAAATTCTTAGGAACCTTGTTATGAATGAGCAAAGTACGGGTTATTTCAACAAGATGCCGAATTTTTCGTTCAGCAACTCCATTTTGCTGAGGAGTTCTAGCACATGAAGATTCATGAAGTATTCCATGTGATGAAAAGAAAGAAGTGAAAGAGTCAGAAAAATACTCTCTTGCATTATCACTTCGTAAGATTTTGAGAGATACCCCAAATTGATTCACAATTTCATTGTAGAATTTCTGAAATACATCAAATAATTCAAAACAGTTTTTCATTAAAAAGACCCAAGTGCACCGAGAGAAATCATCAATGAAGACAACAAAATATGAGAACCCCAAAATAGATGAAACCCGACATGGTCCCCAAACATCGGAGTGAACTAGAGAGAATGGGGTAGTAGATCTCCTATTCACTCTACTAGAATATGAGGCTCTTGAGTGTTTCCCAAGTTGACATGATTCACACTCTATGGCTTTTAGACTTGACAAACTTGGAACAAGTTGTTTTAGTTTATTGAGATCTGGATGTCCTAAGCGACAATGGTTAAGGAGAGGTGAAACAGTAGCAGTGCAGGCTATTTTGGTATTGGTAGGATATAAAAGGTGGTAGAGACCTCGTGATTCTTTTCCTGCACCAATTGTCTCCTTTGTTTGACGGTTCTGAATAATTACAGAATCAGAGGAAAAGGTAACCAGACAATTAAGAGAATGAGTAAGTTGGTTAACTGAGATCAAGTTGAAGGGACAACCGGGAATGTAAAGGACATTAGATAAAGATAAAGAATAAATGGTGACCTTTCCAATTCCTATAGCCTTTCCTTTTGACCCATCTCCGAAAGTAACAACAGGAAGAGAGTTTGATAAATTAATATGAGAGAAAAAGGAAGGGTTACCAGAGATGTGATCAGTGGCTCCAGAATCCAAGACCCAAACTGATTCAGATCTTAATGCAAGGGCAGTATGACAGACAGTGGTACTGGAAATTCTTAATGCACTGTTCAGAATTTTGGGTTCTGCCATAATCATCGGAAAAATCTGCGAAAAACACCGGTAGGGTCCCAGGAAAGAGACAAGCTGATCTGGAAAATCTGGCCAGAAAATGTCGCCGGAAAAGATGGGCAAGGTCGCCGGAGTCCTTGTTGGAGGGTTGTGGTACCACCTTTGTGAACAAAGCTCCCAGTATTGAATAATATGAAAGAGGCAGTAGCAGTGGTTAAGAACACAGTTCACTGTGTTCATCTGAAAAAGTTTTCAGGCCCCAAAGAAGGTGGCTCTGATACCATGTGGAAACAGTAGAGGAAAAGGAAGAAATGATGCTTTATTTCATTGTATCTCTCACTAGTTCTCCAGATTACAACCATATATATAGGCATAAAGAAAGGCATATGAAAGGGCATAATAAATGCTGAAAAACTACTCATCTTCTCAAAGCTACAACTTCCTAGAGTAGAGTAAATATGACTGCCTATTTCCAACACATTTAAAAAATAATACGAACTTCTATGTCCAAGGTTGACCTTGCTTAGTGTTTGCACTTGTGCTTTTATGTCTGAGTGTCTTTTCTAGCACTGTAGATTAGTTGTTATTTAACCTGTCTGGGTGTTTGATGAAGCTTAATGACTGGAGTGAAGTGTGACTTTGTTTTTGTATATGTGCAAACCTTTTTATTGGAAACAATTCCCTGTATTTTGATCTCATTTTGTACTGTTGGTTTTAAGGGTTGCGGGCGAAAAATATTAAATGTGGGAGGTGACTTCCGAATGGCTAGGGGATATGCAGCAGTTGGACCAATGGCCCCTTTCTATGTCTTTCCTTGCGGACACGCCTTCCATTCCCAGTGCCTGATTGCCCATGTAACTAGGTGCACCACTCCAACACAAGTAAGTTATGGAGTGGATCCATCATCTGTCATCTTCTTTTATCCCATGTTTTTGACGTTGCAATTTTAGCCATAGCTTTGTCTTTTTGCGAGTAATATCCAAATAGTGTGTGGCAACCTTTTCATACCAGGGAAAAATTGTCTGAAATTTGCTGCAATTAAAACAGGATAACTGGTAGGATTAGAATTCCATGTAAATTATCATTTCCAATCCTGAGAAATTACTAATCAAAGCAAGTAGGTCTCTTCATATGTTAGAAATATTATATTAACTTATCGAAAAAAAAGAAGAAGACTTATCAAGTATAAAAAATTGTAATTCCTCAATTTTACTTTCAAATTGAGAGGCATGCGCTTGACTTTGATACAGATTAAGAATGCATTATGTCTTTAAATTTAAGTGTAGACCAATATAAAGTCAGATCTTAAACTTGATAGCAATGCAAAGTTTGAAACAGTGTTTAAACTGTAAATGGAATTAGAATTCTTTTGTATTAACTTCCTCTCCATGTAAATGTGTCTGTGTGTGTGTGTGTGGTGAAAAGAAAGGAAATAGGTGAAGAAGAATGATGGAGATGGGAAGAAGAGAGCATGTTTTCTTGCTTTTCACTTTAGGAGGTACATGGATGAGTAGTATTCATATAAGGACTAATCACTTTGTATACCCATCAGTGTTTGGTCTTCCTAAATCACTTTGTATTCCTAATACTCTGCAATCGTATGCATAGTAATATGAAGAAACTATGGAATTGAATTATTTGGACTTGATTGTCTTTGCTTTAAAGAATTATCAGATAGTATTACTTAGAGTTAAAAGTTGACATGTAAATGTTTTTCTCAATCAATATTGTAGGCCGAATATATACTGGATCTGCAGAAGCAGCTTACTTTGCTGGGCAGTGAACCCAGGAAGGAGTCAAATGGTGCCTTGTCTGAAGATCAACCAATAGCTAGCTTGACCCCCATTGAGAAGGTTTTTTTTTTTTTTTTTTTTTTTTTTTTTTTTTTTTTTTTTTTTTTTTTTTTTTTTTTTTTAATGCACAAAGATCTCTCACTTTTTAGTTGCTAAAGACGTGTAAATGGTGATGTCTTTATATTGCATTCATGTTCCATATTGAAGTACTGGTGGTTCTAATTCATGGAAACTTTGAATGAGATAGTGTCTCTGGAATTTCAATGGAAATCCTTTTAAAAAATAATTCTTCCATGCCATTCTTTGGAGCTTCCATTTATGGATTACAACTATCAACATTTTTATGGGTTACAAATCGATGCTTACATGGGTGTTTGATAATGTACAGATTCGGTCACAGCTAGATGATGCCATCGCCAGTGAGTGCCCATATTGTGGTGACTTGATGATCCGTGAAATCTCTTTACCTTTCATCGTGACTGAAGAAGTACAAGAAGTAGCATCATGGGAAATAAAGCCACATAACCCTGGGAGTCAGCCTCAGAGAAGCCTATCTTTATCTGCATGATCAAATAATGCTCGTGTGCGAAATTCATGTTTGCATAAGAGGTACTGATCATTCAACTTTCAGTTTACACTCAAAACTGAATATTTATGATTTCTGGTGTGCTTGTTAAAGCTTACAAGTTACATATTTATAAAACTTTCAAATTGTGGTAGACATGCTTGTTTTATTTTCTATTTCATATTATGTTGTAAGATGACAATTGAGATACTTCACAAATACAATTCCTGTAGAATTGAAATAACTACTATGTTCATTTTCTTTATTTATATATTAAATTACACTTTACCACAACACCACCTTAACCTAACCAACATACACTTTGGTACCTCTAAAATCAATATTATTATTACTAAATGGACTATTTTGTCTTGGACCTTGTATTGACTCACTACCATTTTCTGAAACTTATGTTGTTTGTCATTGAATATCTTGGCAGAGAAGTATTAGCTACATTAGCAAAACTCGGATGCCAAGACATTTCATCTGCTGTGGATTGCCAGTCTGAGTTTGAACTGTGTGTCGTAGAAAGGCCCCATTGGTGGAGCCCTCAGATGCTAGCATATTTGTGGAGCTCTTTCTGGTGATGAAATCTGCACCATCTTTATCTCTTTCACCCTTTTCTCAGCTTCCGACATGGTTTGTCTGCTCTTGCCTCTATTTCCATTGAGATTATTGGTTGGTGGATACATGTGTTTGGCAAAGCATATTTAATGAGATTATATGATCATTGTTACTATGCTTTTTTAAATTCTTTGTTTTATATAAACATAATAATACAATATTGTGCTTATTGTTTCTTACCCCTTTGTCTTGAAACCGTTGATCATTAGCTTTTTTGTTTATACTCGCCACTGTTGACCCCTTTCATTTTCCCATCCTCTAGAGAGAACTTTTGAGGTATGTTCAAGTAGGGAATTTGACTGAAATGGGAGGAATTTGAGTGGGACGAAAATAGGACGTCTTTGAAAGTTTGGACAAAAATGAAAAAAAAAAAAAGTTTTTCAAATGAGTTGAATTTTTTGTCGTATTTGAAAAATGTAATACTAATAAGAAATAAAATGTTTATTACTTATATTGGAAAATATAGTACTATAAAAAAATGTAATATTTTTACATTTTGATTTTAATGTATTACATTTTTTTCTCAAAAGTATTATAGAGTACATTATTTCCTCGTAATAGCGGAAGTTTTAGGACCTTCTGAATATCCCTAGCCATAGTCGTTGGTATTACGTGGGATGGTGAATCTGCAGAATAAACGTTAATGTTTTGTCTACCATTTCTCTCCCGAATACCTTCTCTCCCGAATACCTGATGGTGCGTGTATGCTGAATATGGGAGCTGTGGGAGGATTGTTTTGCTTAGACGCCTACCTGCCATCAATGTTCTACTTAATCTTTTACTTGCACCACAACCACTAACTTAATACAATATAGTAATACAATATTTTGATGAAAAACGCAGTACTTTTACATCAAAACGTTAAAGGATTATATTTGTCTTCAAAAGTATTACATTTTTCTTTATAAAAGTAACAAACACTTTATTTTTAATTAGTATTACATTTTTCATTATAAATATTATATTTATGTGTTAACCTGACTCGTCTCATGAATTCTCACACAAGCATGACCATTTTTCAAAAAAATATCATATACTTCATACGTGCATGTCAAATGTGTTTGACGTATTCAATACGCCAAATGCATTTCTATATGTGTTTGTGTGTGTGTTTTTTTCTTTGTGAATTTAAATGAGGGAGAGTGCGTTTGATCCCTTCTTACACCAGACCTATTAGAGAAACATTTTTATTGCTTAAAAAATGCATGAGATACATGGGTGCTCTGAATTTGTATAATCAAAAACTGTCTCCAACATAAAAATGATAGTTTGAAAGCGTTATCAATAAATTATATTCAAAACAATACAATTTGTATTGTGGTTGAGAAAAAGATTCGGTAAAATATAGTTTTCTAAAAAGAATTCATTCGGAATAATTGCATGCATCTATAACCAGTCCCAATCTTCATTCTTTACGAACATATGATCCCTGTCCACATTTTCAAGTTCACATACTATTTGTATGCATAATATCACTTTAACTATAGACTCCTCCTTTGTGTATATTTCAAACTGTATCTATTTAATCTTTCTTTTAATTAGCAAATTATGATTGGAACAATCAACAATAGAGTTAATGTCATAATGTCATGTGGGGTCCTCCGAGTATAGTGGTTTTACCTAAATTTTCAATTGACCACGCATGGTCCTTCAGCTTTCAAATTGTTGCCATCCGTATTTCAAGTTAACCACCCATGATCATTCAACTTTTAAAATTTAACTAGTTGTGGTCCTCCTAAAAAGATCATATATGGTTAAAATTTGATAGTTGAAGAACCATGTGTTGTGACACCCCAGAAATTAATCCCTCAAACCCAAATTAATTACCTAATTATTTTCTAAGGATGGATTTAACCCTCCTAATTACCCTTACAATTCTTTTTATAATTTTCCATTGAATCTAGTTAGGGGATCTATTTGACCCAAATCCCTAACCTTTTAATATGGTCAATGGGTTGGACTTTTATCTTATAACTTTTGGACCCTAGCTTTTATTTAAAGGAAACCTTTCTAGCCCTTTATAATAATAATGAAGAGACCCACTTGTAACATTTCGGATTTTCTAACTAGAAACCCAAAATACAACCTAGAGACACTACAATTACACTTAGCCAAAACACTCAACATTTCAGCTTCACCCCAACCTCTCTTCCACGCCATTCCCTCTCTTTCTACCCTACCAAAGATGTTCTTCATTTCCTCAACCTAGAAGACCAACAAGATTGCACCTTTCTTCATCACCAAGCCTGGGAGGGGTAAGTAGAGCTGTCAAAGCGGGCCGGCGGGGCGGGGCGGGCTAAAAAGCCCGCCAAGAATACGGGCCCATGGAGGGGCAGCCCGCCCCACCCCCCATAGGCCCGTGGGCCCCCGCCAAGCCCGCCTTTTTTTTTTTTTTTTTTTTTTTTTTTTTTTTTTTTTTTTTTTTTACAGTTAACAAATTAAATTAATGAACTCTTGTTCATCCCTAAAACCATAAACAGCTACTAAGACTTCAACATCTCAACAAGTACCATCCAGAATCTATCATAAATGGTCATAATAAAGTTACAAATACCAACCCAGAATTCATGAGTCAAAGGGGGATATATAAAAGCCTCACCTTGAACAACATTTGGCGGGCTTCAAACTCAGGCATGGGAGGGTGATTAGGTGAAATGGGAGAGCAGTCTTGTTGAGAAAGGGACAGAGCAGAAGCGTTTGGGATGAGAATCTTGTGCTCGGTGTTCATGTTTCCCAGAATATTCTCGGCGAAATTGCTCTCAATCTTAGCTGGAAATGGGTCTCTGGCTCCAAAATCACCCAGCAAATCGATGCCTTTCTCGGAGGCAAGGATTCTGGTGCGAATTCGAGAGCCGCCGGACTGTGCGCGCGGTGGACGGTGGACAGTGGTCGCCGGTTGATCGCGGTGGACGGTGGTCGCGGTAGACAAGGGCTGGCGGTCCTGGCGGATGGCGTATCGCGGCTCGCTGACTCGCTGTGCGCCTGGGCTGTGCGGAATAAGCTAGGGCTTTGCGTTATTACATATTTGAAATTAGGAATTTAGGAATTAGCCGATTAGGATTTAGGAATTTAGAATTTTTTTTTTTTAAAGAGGCGGGCTGGCGCGGGCTTGGCGGGGCGGGCAAAAAAGCCCGTTTTTAATACGGGCTTCAAAAAGACAAGCCCAACCCGCTCTTTTGGCGGGCGGGGCGGGAAAGCCCGGCGGGCTAAGCCCATATTGACGGCTCTAGGGGTAAGTATTAGGAGTTTATGTTCTTATCTCATAGTTTTCATCTATATTATCTAAGTCTTTCCCTCTTTGCATGTTGGGTCTTGGGTTTCATGATGAAGATCACATTGAAGAAGACTTGCAAGGGTGATCATAGGGAGTTTGGAGTTTTTGGATAAGCTAAGAGGTAACCCTATGTCCAACAAAACTTATTTTCCTTGTATAAATGATCTCTTGATGATCTTATGTGGTGTGATGCATATTCTTGTGATTATGCTATTGTAGAGCTTGTATCTAGGGTTATTTGATGCTATTTGATGAGCTATTCCTTGTATTCAAGTCCCATTTGTTGTTGATGAGAGTATTGAGGTATTTGGATTTGGATTGCACATTCTTGAAATTTTTCTCGAGATGAAATTCTTCTACAGGCTTCGGTACCAGCGAGGGCCTGGCGGGCAGTTTACCACCCGCCGGTACAGGGTTGTTTCAGCAGGGGTTCGGCGGGTGGTTTAGGGCCCGCCGGAACCACCTGCTAGTACGGTGTGAATTTTCGGCGGGACCTTTTCCACCCACTGGTACGTATGTTGTTGGCTTCTTGATTTGTTGATCTTCGAGTATTTGTGTGTCTTTATTGATGTCTCGTAAGTCTAGAGCAATGTATTGTGAACCTTATGGTTAGGTTATGAGTCTTGAATCGTGGTTGTAATCTGATATTGTGATTCGTTGGATTCGAATGAACGAAGTCTATGATGTTCGTATGAGCCTTTGCGATTACCTTGTTAGCTTGCATGCTAGTTACATTGTTTATTGGTTCTAGTGTGTGATTACCTTGTGATAACCCTCTTGATTCTTGATTAAATTGATACTTGAGCCTATCTATTCGTTGTAATCATTCGATTGGAATTCTTTGATATCGTTGTATAGATTTTGGAATGTCCTACTCGTATCTCTTCTTGGAATTCCTTTTAATTGTGATCTATCGTTGTGAGCTTGTACATTCGTTGTACTTTATCCTTGATGATTCTTTGATTGAGTTATTGTCGAGCTTTTACTCCCTTTGTGTTGGTGATGAACTTGTGATCCATGTGTATCGGTGGCTGGGAGTTTTGCTCCATGTGTACCGGTGGCTAGGAGCTTTGACTCCATTTGTATTGGTGGCAAGAAGCTTAGTCTTCATTGTAGTGCTAAGGTTGGACTGGTGTACATGTTGGACTCGTGTAAAGGTTGGAACTGTTATAAGGTTGGAACGTGATATTGATATTGCATAGTGAACGTGGATGATGTGACCCCTTTGATTATGAGTATACCATTGCATTTGGTTGAATAGTCGAGTTATCACCCTATCTTGTTTGCTATTCCTTGAATTGATCCATATCGTTATCTCGTGGTATTGAGTGGTATTGTTGAGTATATTTCTTGTATGGTCGGAGTATTACCTCTTTTCCTCGTGATTTATAAAGCTAGAGTTGTTTAGCGATATACGTATGTGTTCCCAAGTCTCAAAATGGTTTTTATATAAAGTATATGAATATGTATTTCAACGCGTTGGAGTTGGGTTACTTAGCAATTTTCGCTAACAGTTGTTATACCTTATGATTTCAGGTGATTAATCGATCCGAGAGCGCAATAGATGGAGCCTCGATTTAGACTAGGTTCCCTTTCTATAGCTTAGATGTTATGGCCTGTGAGCCTTTGGACTTGTAGACTTTTAACTAGTGGTTTGTATAAGCCTGTGCATCTAGGTTGGATGGCCTAGGTGTGACATGACATCCCTATTACTATGTTAGCTTCCGCTGGATTTTATATGTTAATGATTAGACCTTGTCCTTATTTTCCTAAGTTTGGATGCTTTATATATGTTTAGTTTTGGGGGTGTTACATGTGTGGTTAGGGCTGGACACATCGGGTTTCGGTTCGGTTTTTTTTTTTTTTTTTTTTCGGTTTCGATTTTAAAAAAATTAAACCATTCGG